ACACACACACACACACACACACACACACACACACACACACACACACACACACACACATATCTAGCAGCAGGGAAGCTTCACAAAAGGGAGTAAAATCTAATAGGAACCACAGAAAATAACCTGATTTACCTCATTTCCTGTAAACCCATTCCATGTAAACTCAACATAAAGTTAAGTTCTCTGAGTTTACATAGGTCAAAGACGTTTGTTAAATTGAAACCTAAGCTGTCTTTTTCCCCCTAAGAAAAAATACATTGACAAAAGAACAAAGCTATTTTATTGAAAAAATTTGACTTCCTATTTATGGACAGTTTTGTTGTTGTTACATATGCTGTGCTGTCATGTTCTAGGCCTTCATTACTATTCACAGTTTTTTGAAATGGAGTCTTTATACCTAGTCATTTTGTTCTTCCGTGATCGCTGTCTTTAGTCTCCATGTTCCGCTCCCTGTGCTGCTGCATTCAGACTTTGTCAAGTCCTCCTTGCACCATCTCCTGCCTTGGCTCTTCAGAGCTGTAGGGAATGAAGGAAGTACTCTTGGAATCTGGCCATGGAGGTGGGAGATCATCTTTTTGGCTAGCCATAGTCATATTAAGGAAGAACAAATTTGCATAAGAATGAAAGACTGTGGTAGTATATGTAGATTTGACTTTGGGTGATTTTTATCTACTCAGAAGTAGATTTTATTTTGTTTAAAGATAAAGCCTCACTCAATACTTGGAACTAATTTGAGCTCATTAGGAATCAGAATGGATTTTACTCATATGCTGAATTCTTATGCCAAATGGAATCCAGTTATTCAGATGTGTATATTTGAACATAAAAATTCACAGTGAACTACTATTTTAAACAAAACCAAATCTATCTCTGTATTTTGAATTAAGATGAAATTAAAACTTCTCCAACTTGGCCACATGTTAATCAGATTTGACTTCCTGTTCTCAGTTTAGTATCACCACTATTGTCCTCTCCCTCACAAAAGTATTCCTCAGTGCAGGCTGACTGTTTTAGATATATTGCCTCTGAAAGTAGTTATCAAGAGAAAGAAGGCAAGCATTTTCTGGGTAACAGATTCTTGGTTCTTTGAATCTGGGGATGGCTTGGTTTCCCCATGGACAGGAGAGTTTGGCTCTGTACTTAGGTGGTCCATTCAGCTGAGTAGCTAGGGTCAGGAATTCTGTGAGTTACCCAGTTTTGTTCTGTCTTAGGGCTCTCTGTCCTTGGCTGCGCACATACTTGTACCTCTCCAGCCAGCCTACAGATGCAAGTCCCTTGTCATAGGGAATGAACTGCGAGAATAAGAATGAACTAAAGCAGATCCATGCCCGCAGCATGAGGTGAACAACACTGCACTTCAGTCCCGCTGAGGACAGAGGCAGGGATCATAGTCGCAGCATGTTGTTCACTATTTTGATTCAAAGTTCTCTCAGCTAGACTTCAGCCAGAATGTGCCAGGCAAATATCAGCGTTCTTTGGAAATGACATTTATCAAGATAGATTTCTTATTCATGGTGCTGTGATTTGGAAAGGGTGTAACATGGAATCATTTTCAGATCTTTGAAAAAGCAGCCAATTCAGATTAGAACAGTTGTGAACAGTTAGTTCACTGTAGCTCTTGCCACAGCCTAAGGAAGGAAATGGCAGCAAATCCCCACTGGGAAATCAAATCAGGCTGGCTGAAGCTGGAGCCTGCCTGTCCAGCCCTTTGTGCTGCCTTCCATTCCCCCTTAGAAACAGGCATACAGCAGGAGAAGCCAGGGGTCCATGGCTGGAGGGACCTGAGAGAAGGCAGGCAGGCTGGGGAAGATGGGTAAAAAAAGCTAGCCTTCCCCCCATACCCCCATAATTTCTGAGATGCCGGGAGCAGGCCTGCCTCTGAAATATGCCAAACTGCTGCTGAACCTCATACCTGGCCTCCTTTTATACTTCACCTCGGAGTTCCATCAGAGAGCAGCTCCTTGGGTTGTAAGGGCGCTTTTTCCAGAGCTCCACTCTTAAGATGTACCAGGAAAGGGAAAGCACTAATTTAACATAGCTGCACCTGCTAACATGCCTGCTAACAGCAGACTCCATGTCGAAAGCAAAACCTAGAAATATTGAGGAGTGCATGCTGGATAGGTTAATGCTGATAGAGGAGGGCAAAGGAAGAGGGAAGGTGGGGAGTGGAGAAGCTGTCTTTCTGAGCTTTCAAAACATATAGACAGGTTCTTAGGCACTGGGGAGGATATGAAAGGCAACCATCACACGCTTCAGAGATTTTCTAAGGGCCATGTTTGTGGTTGATATTTTATTGCACTTGTTGCTAAAGAAGCTCACTATAGATGAACCTTCAGGATTTGGTGCTTCATTCTATCTTACATACCCATTTTTGAAGCAATTGCTCTCTTCCTGTCTGAAGGGAGTTTCCTAAGACATGAGTCTTGGGACCCAGGGCTGTGTTTTTAACTTACACTGTGGGAAAAGCAGTAGTCTTACAAAATGAGGTAAATAAGGAAGAAGTCTCATCTGAAGAGAAAGAGTCCTGCTGGAGAAGGTAACATTGCCTGGGTGTCTTGCAGGATGTTTGGACCAGGAAGAGAATACAACTTCACTCGGCCCAATGAGAAGGGAGAATATGAGATTGCTGAAGGAATCAGTGCAACTGTATTTCGCACAGTGCTGGTATGTGGTAACTTTGGTTTTTTTTTTATAAATATCTTCTCCCCCGGGAAATACATGTGCCCCTAAGAATTCCATTAATTAGGGGGCTGGGGAGGTGGCTCAAGCGGTAGCGCGCTCACCTAGCATGCGTGCGGCCCAGGTTCGATCCTCAGCAGCACCACATACCAACAAAGATGTTGTGTCCGCCAAGAACAAAAAATAAATAAATGTTAAAATTCTCTCTCTCTCTGTGTCCCCCTCTCTCTTCACTCTCTCTTTAAAAAAAAAAAAAAAAAAAAAAAAAGAATTCCATTAATTATTCAGGAGGCTGAAACAAGAGGGCAGGAGTGTGAGGCCAGCCTGGGCAACCTAGGGAGACCCTGTCTTAAATAAAAAAAAATTGTAAAAAGGGCCAAGGATGTAGCTCAGTGATAAGAGTGCTAGTCCAGCATCTAAAAGGCCCTGGGTTAAATCCTCACTGCTACAGGAAAAGAAAAGAGAGTTCCATCAACCATGTTCTTGACTTTATGGTTTGTTTCCCAGTTGTTGCCTTTTCTTATTTTCTATTCTTGTCCATCTTAATTATCTGAGCTCAGTTAAACATAATCAGGATAGCCAGGAGCCACTCTATCATTTAATGAATCAACCAGCTTGATGATAATTCCAAGAACCCGTTACTTTAGCAAATGTAATGCATGAATGAATGAATGAATAGAATTGCAGAAGTCATCTTCATGTTGTTCTTTGCCATATTTCTTCTTTCTAATGTATTTACAGGATTATTATAAAACTGGTATCATCAATTGTCCTGATGGCATCTCTATTCCAGACCTTAGAGATACATGCGATTATCTCTGTATTAACTTTGACTTCAACACTATTCGATGTCAAGATCTGAGTAAGTACAGGAACACCTGCCAGTTGTATTGAGCAGCTGAACTCTAGGGCAAAGGAGTTTCCATTGTAGGTTGAGATCATCTGTAGAGGCACAGTGTCCTACTAACTTGTTCCCTTCTGCTTTGAAGTATTTTGAGGAAGTAGAGTAAACAAAGAAAATCAAACCACTCACACAGTGGGTTTAAGTCTAGCTTGACTGCGAGTCACAAAGCTAATTGCTTCCCTCTTGGGAAGGACTTTGGTGTCAACTCTTTTCTTTGTTTGCTTATTTATCTATTCTGATTAGTTATACATGAAACTTCTTATTCTTCCAGTTGTACATACTGTACAATTTCTTTTTTTAATATATTTTTTAATATCTTTATTTATTTTTATGTGGTGCTGAGGATCGAATCCAGGACCTCACATGTGCTAGGTGAGCGCTCTACTGCTGAGCCACAATCCCAGCCCCACAATGTACAATTTCATTGGTCATGTAATCATACAGGCACACAGGAAAGTTACATCCAAGTCATTCTACTATCTTTCCTATCCCCATCCCCTGCCTCCCTTCATTCCCCTTTGCTAATCCAATGAACTTCTGTGCGCACCACCCCCCCAATGTGAGTTAGCATTCACATATCTGAGAGAACATTTGGCCTTTGGGTTTTGGAGGACTAGCTTATTTTACATAGCATGATCATCTCCAGTAACAAAGAAAATGACTGTCTATGAGGAAAGGCTCACTAATAAGGTCAAACAGCAAAAATTGGCTGCATTCTTCTTAACATTATTTTAGTCATTCTTAACCTACCGTTGGCTTAATGCTTTGTAGATATAGACTTGCAGAATCTTAAAACAGGGCTGGGGCTGTAGCTCAGTGGTACAGCACTTGCCTAGCATGTGTGAGGCACTGGGTTCGATCCTTAGCATCACATAAGTATATAAAATGAAGACATTTAACTACAAAAAACTTTAAAAAAAAATCTTAAAACAACTCTAAAAGATGGGTGCTAACTAAATTTTAACAAATGATGAAACTGAAAAATCTGCTTGTTCAAAGTTCTAATCATTAAATCTATGATTAGAATTCATATTGCTCTTATTACCTAGGCTTCCTGAATTATTTAAAGAATTATTCTTTGAACTTAATAATAATACATAATACATTTCTCTGCCGTTTGCATGAAGGGCTTTAAACTTGTGGTTTCTCTACTGAGTCTAATACACACATAGAGTAAGTCTTTCAGTGTCACCAAATATCAGATTATCACTCTACTCTGGTACTCCAACTCCATGAAATCAGGGTCCAGAGCATCTTCAAAAGGGGTACTACAAAGAATTATCCCAACAGAATGGGTTCCATTTCTTGTAAAATTAATGTTCCTGGTGACACTGTGAGTCCAGCAAAATCTTAGTTGTTCAGGATGCTCAGGGATTATTAAACATGAGCAAATCAAAGCATGGCAGACTATGAAGCACATCTAACAAAGTCAGCTTAATTATCATCTTGGAGTAGGAAACAGTCTCTTTGCTTTAAAATATAAGACTTCTCTGAACCTGATCAGTGATAACAGCTGCAACCGAGTAGTCTTTTTCATTCCAGGTATAAGTGCATTTAGACAGAAAGCATGTTCAGCTGTGTTTTCTCTCCCCAGGTGCTTTGCTGCATGAACTGTCTAATGATGGTGCTCACAAGCAGTTTGATCACTACCTCGAAGAATTGATTCTGCCCATCATGGTGGGCTGTGCCAAGAAAGGGGAGCGGGAGTGCCACATTGTTGTTCTGACTGATGAAGATTCTGTGGACTGGGATGAGGACCACCCCCCACCAATGGGGGAAGAATATTCCCAAAGTAGGAGCCCCTGCAGGGTGTAAATGATTTCAGCAAGAAAAATACTGTTCAGAGCAGCTCGATCCCAGAGCCAGGGTAGCTGTCATGGTCGAGCCAGTGGTGCGCACGCTCACCTGCACAGTGAACCTCTAGTGCTGCAGGTCTGAGCTCGGTGTTGGGAATACAGTGAATGTCATTCTTCTCACTCCTGTTCTTGCTGTCTGGTACTGTGTCAGATCTGAGGCCACAGATTGCATAGTAGTGTCATTGTTCTTTCACTTATTTTTTATCTTTTTGGGTGAGGGGTACCAGGGATTGAACTCAGGGGCACTTGACCACTGAGCCACATCCCCAGCACTATTTTATTTAGAGACAGGGTCTCACTGAGTTGCTTGGCTCCTCACCACTGCTGATCATGACATTTTTAAGTCCTTTTGAATTGGTAATAATTTAAAACTTAGGTATAAAAAGATCTACCTTTAAAAGTCATATTCCATTCTGCCTCATCTACCTAGTTTTCTTCTTATTTCTTTTATATCTGTCCAAGTATATTTAGTACACATAAACAATTATATACTTGTTTTCCTCCTTTATTTCTTAACCCCCTTTCTTACACACTGTTTTCTACCATGTCTAACATAAAAAGCTTCACATTCTTTATGGTTGCATTATATGCCATTACGTGAATGTACCGTGATTGTCTAGGCTATAAATGATGAATTATGTGCAGTGATTATCCTTCTAAATAGTCTTTTCATATATTCATTTCACCATAGAATATTTCCAGAAATGGAAATTCAAAAGCTTGTGCTTTTATAATCCTGATATTGCCAAATTATCCCTCATAAAATAGGGGATGCCAATTTACACTTACAAAACATGATAGATTGGTTTCCCACACCCTCACCAAAATACTACTTTTAAAACTTTTATCTTTGCCACTTTCTTAATAAGTTTTTTTAAAAAAGGCATCTCGTAATCAGCATGAGTTTTAATTTGCATTTCTTATTTCATGAGTGAGGCTTTTTAATTTTTAAGTCAATTCTAATTTCCTTTTCTGTTTAACAACTTCCAGTCCTTCACTTGTTACATGATTGGATTTATTCTTTCACTTAGTGGTTTGTGAATACTCTATATATGGCAGCTGTGTATTAAGGAAGTTGGTTGTGATATGAATTACAAATATTTTCCCCATTTGGATATCATTTGAGCTTTGTTAATGGTGATTTTGCTTATGCCGACATGCTGTATTGTTTCCTTTTATGGCTTCTAGGAGTCACTCAGAAAGACCTTCCCTACCCTGAGAATATAAAAAAGTTTTTCTTATGATTCATGTGTTGTTTAACCTTTGACCTATCTGGTTTCTTTTGGTATCAGTGGTCAAGTGCACAGTTCATAGTTTGTTAACTCATCTACTTCTTCTTATAGAGGGCTTCATTTCCATGACTAACCCCAGGGGTTTTGTTGTTTTGTTTCAGTTCTTTATAGCTCCAAGCTCTACAGATTCTTCAAATATATTGAGAATCGAGATGTTGCTAAGACAGTGTTGAAGGAACGGGGCCTGAAAAACATTCGCATTGGGATTGAAGGTAAGAAAAATCTCAGTTAGCATTGGGGTTGTTACTTAGGGAGTAGATTGGATCTGGGGGAGGCACACATGAAAGCGGCATTTGTACTTCAGTATGAAGGTCTCCTGTTTGGGATTTTGTTTGTCCTTATGTTTCCTTTCTACTTTTTCTCCATTGAAGATGCTTTAAAACAGCTATAGGAATAGGTCTGAAGATCAGTAGGGGCAAAGGACACTGGTGGGGACTACAGCAGGACTGTGGGCTCCCCAGGGAGAGGATTGTTCAGCAGTATTTTTTTGCGGGGGTTGGGTACCAGGGATTGAACTGGGGGGGGGGGGCACTTGACTACTGAGCCACATCCCAGCCCTATTTTGCATTTTATTTAGAGACAGGGTCTCACTGAGTTGCTTAGTGCCTGAATTTTGCTGAGGCTGGCTTTGAACTCTCAATCCTCCTGCCTCAGCCTCTTGAGCTTCTGGGATTACAGGTGTGTGCCACCGCGCCCTGCTCATTAGTAGTCTTGGTGAAGATGTTTGTGGGAACTGGAAGGGTCCTTCTGAAAAATACAGTTTGGGCATTCAGAATTTATGACTATTCCATACCTCTGAAGAATGTCTGGATATATTGACAGAACTACTTTAAATGATCTGGAGCAGTGGCTCTATCCTTGTCCCTCTTGGAAAGGTCTCAGACACTGCTTCTTGTAGTATGCTGAAGCCATCCTGGTCTCCCTGTCATGGATCTTTGACTTACATGCTTGGCTGCTTTTCCTGCCTCAATTTTGCCCTCAGAACCCATCAAGCCTTCGTTGTATCTGATTTTGGAATTTAAAATTGGAAGAAATTTTGAGATTTATCTATTAAACTCTTTTCCATTGCGTTTTCCATGTCTCTTGGGAGACCCTAGGAAAAGGATAAGAACACCCTGTTTCCCAGAGCAGCCCATCAAAGCATGAGAACATTCTTCCAGGCATCTTAAGAGATGGCTGCCTCCCTTTCCTGCCTGCCTGCAGTTGTGGCCTCTGAAGTTGCTTGGACTTTTTCCATTTCCATGTGAAAGCCTTTTGGGTATTTTAAGCAGCATTCCTGTTTGTCCATTAGGCTAAACAGTCTGCGTCTCCTTTGCCGGTCCTCATGTATTCTGCACTCTAAGCAACAGAATAAGAGGACATAAGTACCCAGGCCCTAGCAGGGTTTTTCTTCTGTGGTATTGTTGCCAGCAATTAAAGTCTCCTGGAATTAATAAGAGGTTCTCTTCCCCTTTCATTAGAAGAGGTAGAATTCTAGTTACTTCTCTTAAATTAGTCCCTTTCTAGGGACAAGTCCTACTAACCAAAGAGCAAGAAGGGCATGAGGCACAGGGACTGGTCACTTCCCATGTAGTTTTTCTTGCTGTCTGGATTTGGGAGGAAGGAGGAAATATGGACACAAGCTACACATAATTTGCCAGAATCAATGATAAGGACTTTTTTCTCTGTTTCAGGGTACCCTACCTGTAAAGAAAAAATTAAGAGAAGACCTGGTGGTCGGTCTGAAGTTATCTATAATTATGTGCAGCGCCCCTTTATACAGATGTCCTGGGAAAAGGAAGAAGGAAAGAGTCGTCATGTGGATTTCCAGTGTGTTCGAAGCAAATCTCTCACTAATCTGGTAGCTGCTGGGGAGGATGTCTTGGAGGACCAGGAGATATTAATGCACCACCCACCCCAAGTGGATGAACTTGACCGGCTAAATGCCCCACTTTCTCAGATGGCTTCTAATGACTTTCAAGATTAGGGTCTGCTGTGAGCCCACCCCTCACCAGAGCTCTTCTCTGCCTGGAATGTCCTCAGCTAGGCCTCCCTGTCCTCCCCGTCATCTGTCTCATTCTGAGTAGGAGACATGCTTCTCCCCCATTATTTCCTTTCCCCCATAATTAACATGTCCTCTGCAGTAAGTCTGTGCTTCTGGCAAGGAATGAAGAAGCACGCTTTGGTAATTAGGCTACCAGTTTTGCAGCAGCCCTGGTAACTTGAAAAATTTTGGTCTGGTGCTGTTCACTGAGTTTTTGCACAACTGCAAAAGCAGGAAAGGAAGACAAGACCTGTTGCCTCATATTAAGCAAAGAAGTCCTCGTCCTTTGTGCTCTGTGGTTTTTGTTTTGTTTTTATATTAGGTAAATTGCTTAGCAGCAAAGGGACCAAACCTAAAATGAGACAATCTCTTATCTTGTAAACATGGGCACTCGTGAGATGCTCACTAGAGGTTAATGAAATGCCATTCCTGGGGCCCTCTATACCCAGATTGCAACTAGGAAAGCTAGGCTCACTCAGAATGTCTAAAAGAAATTCTTAAGAGCTAAAGTTAATTTTTGTGTCGTACTAATGCAATGAACAATCCAAAGCCACACAAGACAGGTTCTTTGGCAGAAAGAATAATAATGACAAAGGAATAAGAAACCTTTTTAGCTTCAGCATTTATGAACCTAGATAAATGGATAATTCATTTGGAATGAAACTCAAAAACAAGTAGAAGCTCCTCTCCAAATCAGACCAGTCAGATTATCCTGGAGCGGATTCTGTGTGAAGTCACAGGTCTTGGTGCCCTAGGGCAGCCCTTTGCTGTGGGTGTGCCAGGGGAACCTGAGCTATGGTTTAAAGGCCTTCAAGATGAGGCCAGAAATTTCTCTTAAGTGCTTGGTATCTTGTGTGTGTGTGTGAGAGAGAGAGAGAGAGATACTGGGGACTGAACCCAGAGGCCCTCCACCACTAAGCTGTATCTCTAGTCCTTTCTTTTTAAGTTTTACTTTGAGACAAGGTCTCGCTGAATTGCCGAAGCTGGCCATGAATTTGGAGTCCTCCTGCCTCAGCCTCCCAGGTCACTGGGATTATAGGCGTGTGCCTCTTCTCCTGGCAGTGCTTAGTGTCATAATAGAAAGATTTATAAGAGCTCCATAGAGAAGGCATTTGTGATAAAGCGGGGTGGGAAAACTCACGTGCGGGATTTTCCAAATTTGTTCTTGTACCATGGAATTTTGGTGTATCAGTAAAGTTCAGTTTCTGAAATAGCCCATTAGTTGCTCACACACTGGGTAAGAAAACGATACTAATGTTCCCAGTGGAAGGCAAGTCAGGCCTGGCTGCTTTGTTGGATTTCTCAGCTCTATGGTGGTTGACAATGCAGATTGCTCTCCCCAGCCCCCACCTGCCTCTGGCACCTCTGTGGCTAGTAAAAGCAGGGCTGAATTCAAGAGTCCAGCACCAGCTGGAAGTGTTTGGGAATTATCTTCCATTTTCTGTTAGAAGTTGACTTTCCATTTTCCGCCCTGGGCGTTTTCCCATCACTTATTTTGCACAGGCAGGTACCTTCAAGTTGTTTAAGGTAAGAACATGACTCGTTTTCTTAAATTCCATTCCCATGCAGCTCTATAGAGCAGGCTCCTCGATTCCATTTGACTACCCAAGTCACAGTCCTCCACACACCAAGTCGGGTGTTGAGCTCCCCTGTCTCCAGGATTGAAGAACAAGAATGTTCTGAGGCAACCAGCTTCATGGGGGAATGAGTGCTGTTTCTCACTTGGAAAAAGCAGTAGTGAGGGGTTAAACTGAGCTGTCTCTCACCTGGAGCTCTGATAACCATTGGTGTCTATTTTTGTAAGACGAATGGTCAGGGATAAGGGAAGGGTTAGGGTTCTTTGTAGCCAGAAATTAGTGTTTCTGTGAAACTAATTGGCTCATATTTGAAGTCACCTTACTGGCACCACATTCACATCCACTAGCAGCTGAGCAGCTCAGGGAAGTGTTGAAGGGTGCTTCCCAGCAGACTTACATGCCATTTCAAAGCAGATATCAATTTTCTGACATTTGTGTATTTGTGATGTAACTTCTCCTGTTACAGCTCATGTATTGTTATCTGAGTGTAAACACACCCCAGCTAACACCTAATTAGTTCATGCTTAGGTGAAAAAGGTGATCAGAGTACAACATGTACTTGGTACTTTGTTCTGTGTTGTTCATTCCCTCAAGCTTTTGAGAGGCAGATCGCTCCACTCCCAGAATTGCAGGTTAACGTGCATTTGGCCCCAACCAGTGGGGTTTGAGGAAGTGGAAATCTGTGAGGATTAATCTGTTAGTGTCACCAGGTGGTGGTCACTAAGGGAAAAACTGGAACCACAGATCCCTGCTGGTGAAGGGGGAGTTTTTTTCCTGCATCTTTCTCAACCCCAACTTAGATGGCAGCATCATTGTCATTTGGTGGCTCCCCTTAGTTGTGCCTGTCTCAGGGTTGGGACATTCTGCGACAGCAGGACTTCTCAGTCCTCTTGAGAACAAAGGCTGGGTTGCCATCATCCCCTTGAGTCAGTTACTGGCCATCAGGCCAGAGGTGTTTCTCCCTAATAGAAAAGGTGGAAGTTGGGTTTGGTGTCTTTTCTAAGTGCCTAAATAAGTAAGCCAGGCTGTTTACACAGAAAGATTTTCATAAGCAAAATGGTTTGACCCACAGTTTCAGAGCATCTCAGCAAGCCAAGGTGAACCTGGGTCTGAGTTTAGACTCCTGGGTTCGTGTCTGCATCATACCTTGTGTAGCTGGTGAGAAAGCAGAGCCACTGAGGATCTGGAGAGGGAGCCAAGAGCTGATGTTAAAATGTGTTAGAGGAGTTCGTGGTTTCTCCAGAGTAGAAGAAAAGTGTTGAAGGAGTGACAGCAAAAAGGGTAAGGAAGACAAGTAGCTGGATTTATTGCGCAGTATCCAGTGGCTAGAATTATTTAAAATTAAATCTCAAGAGGACAGCATGATATCTAATGAATTCAGGTCTATGAAAATACTGTGGAGTAGGCCCAAGGGGGAGAGAGATCTATTTTCAAATAGTGTAACAAAGTGTCTGTCATCAAAACAAATATTCAGAGCACCGGCTTTAACTCAAACTGTCATAAAGTGTGATGTGGAGTCCTTGAAAATCAAGTATTTGTAAGTAACGCATTCAATGCCACTTCTTGCCATCACTTTGAAACTTAAAATGGGCAGAGTGAGCTTGAAGCAAATCTGATGCTTTCATGGGAGATGGAGCCACGTTTGTCTTCTGGAAGGGATCACCTCTGGGGAGAATCACACTTTCTCCTAATGGCAAAATGCTTGTAGGTTTTGCCTCTTTACTTTGTATTTACTTCTCAAGTTGCACTTGTTCACCTACCAGTGTTTACGAAATCCTATATTTGGGATGCTTTTTCTATAATAAAATATTATCATTTGTGTGCCTGTTTTGTTTTTTTTTTGGAAAAAATAAAATCACAGAGCAAGACACCAGCAGAATAGGAAAGGATGGCACTGGGATGAGCGAGCAGAGCCTGCTTTCCTCCGACCCTGGCCTCCCTTGGATCTCCGTGAGCCCTCTCGGTCTGCCTCTCTTTGCTGGTTAATTTGCACTCAAGACCTCTGGGCACTCAAATCCTGACCCTCTTTTTCTTTCTGTGATTTGGCCCCACTCTAGTCAAAAGTGCTCACTCAGCCCTACTTGGCCTGGAGCTTATTGGCGCTAATAACCTAAAGGAAAAGCAAGCTGTGCACCCCGCAGCAGGCTACTATTTTACCAGATGGCCCAGGAGTTTAAGAACATGTCCTCCTGGGCTCAGTGGTTCACACTTGTAATGCCAGCTCCTCAGGAGGCTGAGGCAGGAGGGTTGCAAGGGCAAGGTCAGCCTGAGCAATATAGAGATCATATCCCAAAATAAAAATTTTTAAAAAGCGTTGGGGGTGTAGCTCAGTGGTAGAGTGTCCCTGGGTTCAACCCCCATAGTCACATAACAAAAGAATGCACCTTGAAGACGGCCAATTGAGTGTGTTTTGTGCCTGACCGCAGCCATACACCGACTGGACACAGTTTCTCCCTTCAAGGGGCTTTTATTGTCATGTGGAGCAGACCTGCAAATAGTTCAGGTCACTTAGGAAGTCCAAAAGAATGGAGGTGTCAGTTTTTACTCAGAGGAATACAAAAAAGACTTCCGGAAGTCACTTGTGAACCAAATTGTGGAGAACTGCATGAGGGGAGGAAGTATTCTAGGCTAGCTCAGATACATGCTTGGAGGTAAAATAATAGCTTGTCATCAGGGAAAAGGATGGAATGGTACAGAGATGTGGGCAGAGTAAGGAGAGACTCTAGCTCAAAGTTGGACTCCATTAATAGGAGCCCTAAAGGGTTTTTAGGCAGAATGATGAACCAGACTTGGAATTTCTTTGGCAGCAGGGAGAACACATTAGAGAGGGAGGACCAGACACATGCTTGTGATGAACCACGTAAGGAACAAGGAGAGGCACTGGCAGAATGGATGGCCATGCCCTGAACTCAGGCACTTACTGAAGACAGCCTTATTTGGAGGCTCTAAACTTTCTTGCTTGGACATCTGGGTAGACAAAACTAGAAGTGTATATGGGAGCAAGAGGAGCTCTTGTGTCTGAGCCTACATGACGCCTTGCAGGGGCTGTTTCTGGCAGAGTTCTGAGAAGGGACCTAGGTAGGTTGGGTTAGAAGATAAGACCTCAATTAAAAAGTGGTAGCTAAAGCCACAGCAAGGAGAGAGCACACAGCATTTAAGTGGTGGGGAAAGGGACTAGAGAAGGAAGGGTGGGGAGGAAAACTTAAAAAAAAATTCAACAGTGCAAGTGCAGCAGGACAGAGGAGAAGGGGGGGGGGGCATTGTAAGTGAACACCAAGGACCAGGGGATTTCTAAACCTTAATGCTAGGGATGACTAACGTTTCACACATGGGACAGAAACCAGACTGTGAGCTGGCATGGTAACACATGCCTATAATCCCAGCAACCTGGGAAACTGAGGCAGGTAGATAGCAAGTTTGAGACCATCCTAGGCAACTTAGCAAGACCCTGTCTCAGGAGAAAAGAAATCCGACTGAAGTGAGCTGAGTGGGAGAGGGAATTGAGGAAGTGAACAAAAGTGCCTCAACCACACGGGGCCACGCTGCCAAGCCCCAGAATCCTGGACTGTGCACTTCTTTCCCGTCAAATCATAACTACTTAGAATAAAACATCTCTGGGAAGCTTCCCTATGCCACTCAACTGAATTGGCTTATCGGCACTGTCACCTCGACACCAATTTAATAACTTCACTGTTGATGCTACAGCTGGTGAAGCCCCTTAGTGTGGGAATCCTCGCCTCCCACACATCTGCAGTTCAAAAACATGATGAGCTCCCTATTATGTCCCCAGAGCGCCCAGTATATCATGGACCTTAAACATTGTTTGAGCAAGATATTTCTCTCCGGAAATAGAAAAATAGAAATTTTAAAAAGTATCAAGGAGTCTGGTTTTTTTTTTGGGGGGGGGGCAGAGTCTTGCTAAGTTGTCAGGGGTCTTGTTAGGTTGTTGTCAAACACGATCCTCCTGCTTCTGCGTCTCAAGTCACTGGGATTACAGTGTGCCCCACCTTGCCCACTAAGAAGCCTGTTTTTCAAGTCAGTGGTTTTGATAGATCATTCTAGGGAAATGTATGCCAAGTAGGATATGAAAAGTACCACTCTGAATCCTTTGAGTTCAATTAAAAGTACCATTTGAGGGACTGGGGTTGTGGCTCAGCAGTAGAGCGCTCACCTAGCATATGTGAGGCACTGGGTTCAAGCCTCAGCACCACAAAAAAATAAAGGTGTGTCCAACTATAATCAACCAACAAATAAATAAATAGATATATAAAATACCATTTGGGTTACACACCTAGTCCCAGAGAGAAAACGAATGAAGTGATCCAGGAAATGTGCCTTCGAAGCAAATGAGAAAAAGCATCAACGATCAATGGCAGGGGTCTCCTGTTATGAGTTTTGAAATCAGCAATGTGCTGATTAATCCTGAGTGAATTCATCTGAATTTTATTTTTGAAAGTAATTCTAAAAAGAAACAGGTATTAAAACTTCTGATGCATTCCTGAATCAAAGACAGACTCAGGACCATCAATATTGTTTCATTTTAGTATGCACTAAAGCTTTACTAGTGTAACAATTTTATTTTCCAACTTCCCCAGTGAAAGTAAGAAAGAGAATTAACTGTGAACAAGATCAACTGAACCAGCATTTCCTAAGGTGTTTCTTGGGACCCAAAAGCCTTGGAAAAACTACTAATTCTGGCTACTAAGTCTTTGCCCCTTCTTACCTATTTCTGAGGTTCCTTTCCCCAGAAAGGGTCTAAGGAGTGAAACAGAACAGCACTGCTACAGCAGACGGCCTCTCAGAGGCTGACCCTGCTCTAAAGGAAATGGAAGGCTAAGTCCCATCCTGTAATCTTGTGAGGGGAAAACAAAGGGCTGGGTTGTAAATAGCTGTGCAAAGGGCTCACTTGTTTTGTTTTTGTGGCGCTGGGGGTTGAACCCAGGCCCTTGTGCATGGGAGGAGAGCACAGCTGAGCTGTATCCCCAGCCCCAAGGCCCCACTTTTGCACAGGTGCAGCACTTTTGCCAGCAGGTGTCTGTGACCTTGTTGCAAGGGGAGGGCCCACTCCCGGTAACCTTGAATGAGGTGGAAAGAATATGTGTAGGGGCTGACAGAAGTCTTTAGAGGGACACCAATTCAGAAGGCTGGCTCCCTGGAAACCAAATCTGACCCTAGCTTCCCTGAGACAGGACCGCACTTTGCATAGAGGACCACAGCATACTGTTGTGATGTTCAACAACTAAGGGCTTAAAAGAAGCCACCAGTACTGTTCTGAATTATAAGCCACTTTTGCTTTAAAACACATCACAGATTTCCACTATTGTTTTCACACAGTTTATTCAGAAGTTTAAATATTAAAACGTGGGTATTTCCCCCTAAAACAAATCACCCCCTACCACTCCCCAGCACACATATGCTACTGGCACTCCTGCTACTTCTCCTTACCCTGCTTCCCAAACACTCTTGCAAAACACACTGTGGGTCAGGACCCCAACTATTTGGTAATACAAAGAACTACAATGTTACACAAAAGAATCTCATTTTCTTCCTTTCACAAACAGGCTATGAATGAAAGATTAAGGGTGAACACACTACCTCCATCCCGAGTAAAGACTTCTAGCATTCTTTTTTTCTTCATCTAAGATGTTAAAACCCAGGCGGTTTCACTTACAACTCTAACTCTGATCCTCTACTCTTCTCTTCTGAATGTCTAAGCTGGGCACTTCCCTTTCAAAGCTGACCTTCTCAACCTCGAGACTGAAGAAAGCAGTTTCCAGCTGCAGCTTAGCCATGATGCTCCACAACAGGCAAAGTTACCACACAGGTGCAAATGATGCTTTAATAGTTATCAAAACTTAAAACCAGAAATGAGTAATGCATTAATACGGAACCTCCACATTTTTCTGACGCAGCAAAAGTCCTCTGAAGGTGGCAGTGCTGTGACAGAGAAGGCACTTGGTGCTAAAATTCAGAGGGTCTCTTGTGAGAGAATGCCACAGCAGAGGCCCAGTCAGCCTGAGCTGCAGGTGACCCTTTAGGGTGTGGGGGGAGTATCCCCCAGAAAGGCATCTGCAAAGGAAAAATTTGTAATCATGATTCCAAGGCAAAATGGCTACTTAAAGTTAGGAGAGGAAAAGACCAAGAGAGAAGACAAAACGATTGCACCAGGGATCGAGGAGTGAACCTTACAAGGACTTGTCAGCCAGCTGTGCACTTGTATTGAGCTGGTATCTTCAGCACTTCCAGGAGGTTCTGCAGACTTCACAGGAGCAGAATCTTAGCCAAAAGCTAAGCGCCCTCCTTGCTGTGATCCCAGAATACACTGAGTCCCTGCTGGCAGCATTTACAGATATTGCTGGTTCATAACAATATCCGTCTTAGGGATTTTCTGATACAGCCTGAAGACAATGTGAGGGTTTCCACTTGATCCAGAACTCCTTGGCAATGCCCAATGGCTTTTGGGGCCTTCTATGAGCAACAACGGATCAAGCTGTTGTTCTCCCATCAACACTCAGAAGAGCAGCATGAATCTTTTAGATGGGTGGGAAAAGGGAGATAAATCAGTGGTCTGAGGGTCTTTAACCTAGTACCATAAAGTGCACCATGAATGGAGGCTATGAAAAGCCACTTGTCCGAGGCTGAAGTATGGGGAGAAACTACCATCGCTGTCCAGTGGGATGGTGGGTCATTTCCCTCAGCCAAAATGTTGGCCGCTGAGACTGTCATTATTGCTTTATTTTCTTAGTACTACAGAACTTTTTACTGTAAAGAAAAAGAAATACTTGGTGGGCTTGGCAGATGGTGTATCACCATATCACAGCAA